GTTATAGATATATAAGCTTACGGTTTTCCTTCGCACAATATGGAATCATTCTAGTAACCCCCACTGTGACGGTTAGCTTTATTTCCATAGTTTCTGTTGTCTAGACTATGTCAGTCTCTCAGCTGGTTGAGGTGTTCAGCTTAAGGTAGCATGATTTATAGCTACAACTGCTTAGACCCCAGAGCATCTCGCATTCTTGGTAGAGTCTTCCAACTGAAGCTGTCAGACAGTCAAGTCATAACACTGCAGGTTTTCGGCTTCTCAGCTGGCCCTGGCCATCAAGTCAGCAGAGCACTCGCAGAATCCTTGGCTGTAATCACACTCACCCACCCCTTGATTAAACACACCCAAATTAGCTATGTGGGGAACTTGTAGCCGGCCTTGCCCGCTCCTGAGCAGCTGAGCACTCAAATCTGTACTGCTCAGCCCCCTGCATTGTTTGTTCAAGGGGAGTATACTCAAGGCTAACATAATATTCCAATAGCTCATCTGCAGCTGATACTTACATGTGTGTAAACTCTCAGTTCCCATCGGTCACCTCTTAAGCAAATGGAAGTGATACCTCATTTAACATGTTAAACATCTAAAATATACTGATCGGAACACTCTCATTTTACAAGTAGGGGGATTTGAAACTTTTAAAGTGTGTCTGAAGCTAACTAGAAAACCTTTTAGTTTTTATGTGAAGTATATTCATCCTTTTAAGTTGTTTTCCTGTTAATTTTTGCCATTTTGTATAGAACAGTTAAGAAGTAGATGGGTAACAAAGAAAGAGAGGGATTTTATATCAACCCAAGTCCTGACGCTGCAATCGTTGACGTCTGTTAGAATGAACTCCTGCAACCATCCATTCATCTGTAAAATATACACTGAAGATCTCACATCAAACTAAAGTCCAGCAAATATTGTTCCTTAAAAAACGATGATCATTCAGTCGCTGCAGTTTTAAACTCCAGATCAACTTCCCTGAACTCAGCGAAAGACTAATCAAACCGTCTAGTAGCTGGTTCCCTCCGAAGTTTCCCTCAGGATAGCTGGCGCTCAGAGTCTCGCAGTTTTATCTGGTAAAGCAAATGACTAGAGGCCCTGGGGCCGGAACGGACCTCACCCTATTTTCAAACTTTAAATGGGTAAGAAGCCCGGCTCGCTGGCTCTGGAGCCCGGGCGTGGAATGCGAGCCGCCTAGTGGGCCACTTTTGGTAAGCAGAACTGGCGCTGCGGGATGAACCGCATGTTAGAATATCCCATACACATAATATCCGGACTAATTTATTGTGAAATGTGCTACAAATATATATAAAGGTACTTGAAGATACATTGTGAAAGTAATTTTTTGCTTTTCACCAGATCTAAATTTGATCAGTCTTTTGCTGCATGGTAATAAAGCTAAAAACCAACCTCAGCTGTACTTCCTATTTAGAGCTAATTTAAAAAATGGTGCTAAACCTTTGCACAGTGGTACAATACAGTATCTGCAGGATAACCTTGAAACCATTCACATATTAGCATGACGATGCTACCTTTTAACTCAAAGCTCTGTGATGCCACAGTGCAGCCTCATAGAGATGCTAACAGAGTTGCAAACTCTTAGCCTAGTTGGCTTGTATTGAATTAGTTGCCAGGCAACTTTAGCTTGTAGAAAATCCAGCATTGGGAGGTTTTGGGGGCCTCCAGGGACTTCAGTCATTAAGACAGATAGTTCTGCTTCTAGTTAGGACCCCCCTCTCTCCATCACTCACCAGCCCTCTGAAGGCAAATGCTTGGCACCCATTTTAAAGCAAACAACTTGGGATGTGGCAGTTTCCTTGCTGCTCTCAGCCATCTTTATGTGGTCCCCTTTTTTTTGTTCGCATGGTTTCCTCTGAGTGCCGCTAGAGGTCACAGCATGGGCCTCAGAGTCTTTGTTTTGCCCCATAATGGCTCTATTCTCCCACAGCCGCAATGACTTCCAAGCCTGCTAGACATTGGACACCATTGTGATGAAGTGAGGTGGTAACTTGAGGCAGAGAGGTGGGAGTGTACATGAATGTATATGTGTGTACAGTTAAGTAAATTACTGTTAAAATGATCATAAAATGAAATGAAAAAGTACTTTTTTTATCCCAGAAGGGAAATTCAATGTTGACTAGCTCACTCTCATAGTGCTAGCTTTGCTGGAAAATGTTATTTTTACAATTGAAATATAGAGTTGAACAGTAACCAAATATGCAGCAGAAAGGAGGAGGTTTGGACATTTTTTTTCTATTAGCACTGATGACTTTTTCTCATGATTGAACAAAATTCAGTTTGAAAGAGAATCGTTGCAAATTCTGTTTGCTTCTCATTTATGTAATTATTGCAATAAAATAAAAAAGCCAGTGTAGCGTGATTTGGTTCTTATATGTCAATACAATTTTGCAAAATGTTTTTGAATTTGATTTTGCTGTGTGTCGCTTTAGTTGTGTAGTTAGTTCCAACTACTTATCTCTTTTTAATTTAGTAAAATACAAACTGTATTCCCTTGCAAAAGTGCATGACAGAGATCAGCTGAATAGCACGACATCAAATTAGTCTCATATTACTGAGTCACATTTCCTACAAGACAAAAAAATGCTTAAAATGACAGATGGCCAAAGGTCACACAACAGGTGAGCTCCGTATGCGACGCTCCGTGCAAGAAGCTGGCTGCTGCAGGTGTTTCATATGCGGCCCAACCAGTTGCTCCACAGCAGGTGTCGTACTGAACAAAGGCCAACTAGGGCGAAAAGCTTCGAGGCAAAGCAGCAGCAGCAGTCAACAACATCAAGTATAATTTATTGTAAAAGTCAGCTCTACTTGGAAGCAAAGTGTATCTACTGACGTTTGTTGGCTCGTTTTAGTATATGAATGTCTTTGCGGTTCACATTCCAGTTTAACAATTTAAACAGTTGTAGCACTGACATTCACAAAACCTTCTCTTCTTCTCATATGTCTGCATTTGCGGTAACAGAGACGCAGATCAGAGTACCACCCAAACCAGAGGGGAAACAAAAGCTCATAACTGTTAGGTTATCCTGTTCAGAGTCACGAAGGTCACAGCATATATGGACAAACACACTGACACATCATATTCACATCTGCTAGATGTTTAGAGGATGTAGAGTTAACCTTAACAGATACAGAGAACATGTGTAAACGTCATGCAGAAGCCCCCCCACCAGCTGTCATGTTTGCACTCCACCACTAAGCAGCATGCCTCCCAGACCCCTGTTTGTAGTTTTGTCCCATAGCACAGTTTGGTTCTTCATTTTCACTTGGCTGGGGTAGATGTGAAGATTATAGTCTTGATTGTAAGCAGAGATCTTGCCGGCAGTGCTCATTTTGTTTGAAAAGTTAGATTTTATTTTGGCTTCATCTCATTCTCTCCAGTTTGCTGTTTGTCCTGCTGTAGTCAACAAAAAGCCCCAAACATTTCAGCTGGTGTTCATTACAGTGATTTTTGCAATCTGTCCTTTTAGCGATATGAGGACAGTAAGGAACTAATTTAGTCTATTTGAAGGCATGTCATGAGCAAAACCTAAATTGTAGCAACAATAATAAACCTGACAGATCCTAGCCCCAGTTACAGTTTTTATTTGAATCGTTTTATTGAGAAACATTATATGCCCATATTCTCAAAGTAATAATCAGCTGTAATGTATAAGACATTTAACAGGCTGCGGCTTGGTCACATGCTCTTTCCTCAGTTCTTAGACATAGCAGTTGTCATTGATAGAAAGCAGAAAGAGGGGGAGAAAATAGGTGCGGAACAACTGCGAGTGCTTGAAGAAGAAAAGAAAACTTTCCAATGGTCTAAATTTTTCCATGTAAAGTCATTCATAGGCAGGACATAGAAATTACACAGTCTTGTGTCCGAGAAAAAGACAAAATAGATCTGCCACATGTCAGATTTAAGGTGGGGAAACTTGGAGGTAACGAAGGAAAGGTAGAAGATAAACAGGATAGAAAGAGAAAAGCTGGCAGCTATTAAAGAGAAAAGGCCGGACCGACTGTTCCTGACTGTTTGTACCGAGTAGAAAACGTGAGTTAGCTGTAATCGGATCTCAGCTGTGGTGAGCTCATATAAGAGGCCTGCCAGCAGCCTCAGAAAGAGCAGTCCACCCATAAGCCTTTAGCCCCACTGCAGCTCTCTGCAGGCCGGCCAGCTTAAATATCATATATAATCTTTCAAGACTACTAGTTGGGGCACTTCCACTGAGGAAGGTGGGGGGAAGTGGAGATGAAATGTAAACTAAGCATTGTTTTGAATACAATTAGATGAAAAATTCAGCTTCAGGCCATTTTGGACTGTAGCTCAATATATTTGAAGCTAAATAAACTATATTTAGACTTACATGGATATATGGTTTTCACAGGGTGGTAACATCTGCAGCCCTGTTGCAATTTTAAGAATAAACTTTTGTAAAAAAAGAAAAAGAAAATGAAGATAGTTCAGTTGCCATGAAACAACAGCAAAAAGAAAAAGAATGTATTATTTGATGGCTTTCCTCTTTCCATTTGATTCTTAGGAGACTTTCATAACTAGATTATTTTAATTGTGTTAAAAAATGCAAAAATTTAATTTTAATCAGGTGACATGACACAACTGTCTGAGCTCAAACCGATGAAGGGGAACGAAGCTTGCTCGTGGATTACAGTGAGTGAATGAGCTGTTTGTGTGTTTGCTGTGGCATAGAAGGTTTGACTGAGTTGCAGTTGCAGCTGCACATACAGAGCAACTTAGAAGAAGTCACAGTTGACCTGAAGATTTCACACTTCACCTTTACCTCTTGAATACTTGGGTTCTGTGTTTTAATCAGGATAAAACTGTTTAGTTGTTTCTTAACTAAGAGCTGACCTCACGTTCCTATTTTTCTTAAGTTGTCAATTTTTTTCTCTTCTAGTCACCAAACCTGCTCAGATGGACTTGAGATAACGCCAACGGAAGTTCTACTCTCATCCTGAACTTCAGCCGGTCCCAGAGCCTTTGACATTCAACCAGAATGGCAGATCCCAACGGGCTGAGCTCAGAAGGGGCGGGGGCAGGCATAGCCGAGGTCGACGCCTGCAGTTTGGAGATAGAGAGGAAGTATGATGTCATCCCTGCCGTCATCTGCTCGATGTGCTGCCTGTTCGGCATCATCTACTGCTTCTTTGGTGAGCATCCCTGCCGGGTTGCAGACTGTATACACATGAGCTGATAGATGTAGTGTGCTGTAGTTGTTCTGTGCTTACATTATGTTCATATAATGGGATTTCTGCTTATTACTCTACACCTTCCAACTCCCAATTCCCTAATTCCTCACTGTAGATCTCCTCTGTGTCTCCTCTTCCAGGTTACCGCTGTTTCAAGGCTGTCATGTTCCTGTCTGGCCTGATGTTTGGCTCGGTCATCATTTTCTTGCTGTGCCACAAGGAACATGTGCTGGACACACAGCTGAGCGTGGAGGCCAGCGCAGGTATTGGCCTCGGTATAGGCCTCCTCTGCGGTCTGGTCACCATGCTGGTGCGAAGCGTCGGCCTCTTCATGACCGGCCTGCTGCTTGGCCTTCTCCTGGCCCTCGCTGCCCTGCTGGTAACTCACCAGTTCTACACGCCGACCACAGTCTGGGTGCCGCTGGGTGCTCTTCTGGGAACGGGCATGCTGTTCGCTGTGCTGACACTGCAATGGCAAAAGCTCTTCACCATGCTCTCCACTGCTGTGTTCGGGGCAGCCATCATGACAGTGTGTGCTGATTACTTTGTGGAGATGCTGGCTCTGGCCACACATGTGTATGACTGTTTGCGTCTCACACCCGGACCAGCGCTCTGCTGGTACAGCTGGGTCATTCTGGGCATCTGGCCTGCTCTCAGCCTCATAGGAGTTGTGGTCCAGTGGAAACTGACGGATGACAGCTTCTCACACACTGAGGGTAAGGATGGAATGTCATGATGCTTTCACTCTGCTGTGGGTGTGAGTCAGGGCCTGAATTGATCAAATCTCTAAGAATAAAATGGAGAATAAAACACATTTGTCCAGCAACTGACTCCTTCTGGAAGCAAAGTCAGTTAGATTTCAATGCATCTCTCAAGCGATCACATGATTAATCACATGTATGCTCACAGAGTAGGACCAGCTAGTCAGAATTTCTGAAAACTTTTTGGTGTGAAATTTTTAATACCTGAATTAGCAGTTAACTTTTGTATTTAAATGAAATGTGAACTGCTAGAAAAAATGTTTTAAGCATTGTTTTGAATAAGTTTGATTTAAAAAAAGGACTTTGAGCCATTTTAAACTGCAGTCCCGCATATTTTAAGCTAAATATACTAAATTTGCACATTTGCACATTAACTATAATGTCACAGAGCTAGAAATGTGAAACGTAAAGATAGTTTAGTTTACTTGCCATGAAACCAAAATTTTAATGGTAAATAACACTGACTGTATGACTGCTTGTGCTTCACACCGCACACTGCTCTGAGCATACATGGGTAATCACATGTATACTTAGAGCAGAAACAGCTAATCAGAGACAAGTATTTCTGGAAAAAAAAAAAAAATTGTGCACATTCCGTAATACTCAAATGAACGTAAGTGTTTTATACCAACCAAAAATCCCATCAAATGGAAGGTTATCACCAACCTCCTCTAAATCTAATTTAAACTTAAAATCAACCACAACCACTGATATTTTCAACAAATCTAATAGTAACAAAGTTTTATTTCTGTCTCTCGAAAATTCATACAGCTGCTCTTGAATTTCTTTTCCTCTCGTAGTTGTTATCAGTCGGCGACAAAAGAGAGTCCAGCTGATGCGGATTCGAGAGAAGGACGCCAAGAAGCGACAGCAGGCAGGTGGGCAGGAAGGCACGTACCGTCGTAAACCCACCCCAGTGAAACGTTACGCTGGGGATCTACTGGCACCGGTCAGTGTCACCCAACATGGCGTGTGCTGTAGTCATTATTGTGTTTTTACAGCATCAGTTTTCCTAAAGAAAAAAGAAAAGGGATCTTGTTTGTTTGTTTTTTTATTGCTGTCAAGTTGATGCCATCATTTATGTGCCTCACTCATCTTTCCCTGTGTTGCTCCTCTCTCTTAGAGCTACCTGCAAAGTCTGCGGGACAGACAGATGGGCACAGGTACTTCCCTTAGCAGCCTGGGCACCGCCAACCACACCATGATCGACTTGGACTACGACACCGGGTCCACCGTGCCTCTCACTGCTACAACTCCAGTCGTCAGGGTCTGAACAATGCACAGATAAGAAGGGACTACATAGTGCTCTCTGGTTCTCCAACTGTGTCTTCCTAATGTAGAGTAGAACCTGTTAACTGCTCCACTATCTAAGGCTTCTTTTTTTGCCTTTAAATTGGTTTGAAGCAAGAATGGATGTTTCTCCAGAGTCAGCTCTGGGTGTCCAGTGAAACCGAATGCTGCTTTCTGGGGAGACGTCAGAAGGTGTCAAGCTCCTGTTTGATGATCCTAAAACCACTGCAACCACTGTTTCTCAGAGAAACACAAACTAACACAGAAAGGTCACCCATTTCCACTCATGATGTATTAAATACATAACGGCAAGTTTGAGCCTCAAAAACAGATGTTTTGGTAGTGAATATGACAAAGCAGTTTGTTTGAAATTAAGTGTACTGTACTTAAAAAGTTAGTCATTGCCATGAAGTGTTGTGCTATTACTTGTCTTTCTGTTTAACCGTGTGGTCGTAGGATTTGTGGAAGGTTATCATTAAAGTGACTTTTATTTTGTGTATTTTTTTAAAGATGTAGTGTGGTGAGAGAGTAAAATCTGACGTGAACATGTTGAAAGAGGATGGTTTTTGCAACGTAGCTCCTGTCAGAATACATTTAGGTGAAGAATTTAGTCTGTCATGTATGCTTGTGGAGTAAACGTTTTATAATTTAATTTATATAATGACCAAGTACATGGTAGTGTTGGAAAAAAAGGACAAAAAACAAAGCATGTTTGTTGTTAATTTGTAGATTTTTAAATAATTATCCATTTGTTGTTTGAATTTTTCAGGGACGATGCACTTGTTTCCTGGATCTGTAAATACCTGTTGATAGAAATTTCAAAGATAAATAAATTTGTTTGATACAAAAACAACACATTTTCGCTCATCTCTTCAGTCAGATCAGTTGCACTGTTTGTCTCTGCAGCCTCTTAGCAACACTTGGCAGCATTACTCACCAGATTTTTCGTCGGCAATAAAGAGGTCATGGGGAGGATTTCCTACTTCGCAATTGGTTGGAGTTTCCATGGTGCCTCCAAAGTTTTTTTTTTTGCAGACAGCACAATGCAGGACAGACCACCCTTTCATCACAGTGAACATTAAATATATTTTTTCCCCCTTTTTGTGGGAATGTGAGCAACTTTTCTGGTGACAGAGAATTGCAAATCCAGAAGGCAGTTTTATTATGGATGTCTTGTTTAATTGTAGAAAATGTCACATTTGTTATTTAAAATCAGGACACAAATGTATGTTGGCCAGTGTGATTCATGACATCGTGGAAATGTGCACTGAATATACTTAAGGAGTCGGTTACACTAAACTGAGCAGAAAATGCACAGTCCCATCACCATAGTACAACTTGCTGAAATTATTACGACACATAATTCAACACATATGTCGAAGCAAAAAAAACAAAAAAACAAGGCCTTGATTCTTCCCAGAGATCATATAAAATCTTGCATAATACTACAGTCACAAAAACACACATACACACTACAAGAAGTGAGCCTCACGAATATCAGCCTGTTCTGGAGGGTGTGGGTAGATTGATCCAGTGAAATGAAATGAAAAGTCTCAAACTAGTTTTTCCAATGAATGATGATTCACAACGTGTTACTACGGCTGAGGTTGTGTGATTGTCAATGCCCCTGGAGTGGAACCAGCACTCCCTGATTCAGGCCTGCTGGTACCTGCTGCCTCCTAATGGTCAAACACTAGCACCGCATCCAGCGTTCCCTCTTGCTCAGAGGGTATCCTCTCTCCGTTCTGAGCAGCTCATTCACTCGCCAGTACTGATCGCCCTTAAAGACGTAGATCTTGTTATTGGTCCAGGTGAAGGCGGCGTCAGGAGCGGATGGCACTCCGGAGAAGAGCATGCTGAGCGGTTTGGGGTAGAAAGTTAAGTCGTTGTACTTCAGCTCATCCCACTGCCAGTGTTCTGAACCCTACACAGGCAAACAGCAACAAGATGCAATTAAAACTGAGGATTTGTCCGAGTAGAATCATAAACATGTGTACTGCTTCTCCTCACAGTTACCTTAATGAAGACCAGCTTCTTGTTTATCTGCAGGTACAAGGCTGCATCAATGTTAGGAGGGATGCGTTTCAGTGGTTTGGGGTAGCCGTAGTCCAGCAAGAACCCAGTGTACTTCCACACTTGATTACCTGTGACCCAGACGGAGCAGAACTGTTAGATTCAGAACATTCAGGACTGACAGCTGCAGAACAAAAATCCAGGTCGACTAGACATAAATTACCTTTAAAAAAGTATGTCTTGTTGGTTTTTTGAGAGTGCACTGCAGCATTCAGGTTTCCAGGGAGTTCCCTCCACAGTCGGTCAACTTTTATCGGCGTGTTGTGTCCAAGATCAGAAATGGTCCAGACATAATCACCACTAAAAGCAAAGGTTTTGCTCCAAGGACCTGATTCAGGATATAAATCATGTAAATACTTTATGATTTAAAAGCACTTGCAATCTATTACTCTATTTTACTCTATGTTACTAAAAACTATTACTCTCTAAAATTGCTTTTCTTCAACATTAGTAGAACTTTTAAAAACTTGATTTCATCATTAGTTTTTTTGTTTGCTTTTTTAAAACTGCATTGATTGCTGTTCACAGATCTTTGTGGCAGCTCACAGACACTCCTAACTGTATTTTGTGTTCATACTATGGCTTTCTCTGTAATTATTCTGACCTGTAACTTACCTAACATGATGGCATCCAGCGTGGCCGTGCAGGGATCGGGTATGTGCTCATTTCCGTGACTGCTTTCTGTGGGAAACAGGCTTTGTGGCGTTGTTGGACTGGATAAAGTGCTGGTGGCGCGTTTGCCTAAAACAGAGAAGCTGCAAATTTTAGGATACATTTTCACATTTTGTGCTTATTTTGACAATTGAAACCTACATTAATAATGCTTTCATGCCACTAGTGAGACATTTAGATTATTTAGATTTGTGTTTCATTTTTGTCAGATACTTTGCTTTAATACTTCTCTGCAGATGAGAGTGTGATAAGGTTCAAAACAGTTAATCTGTTAAAGCATCTTAAAACAAGTTTTGTTAACTGTTAGCAGATACACTGATTGACCTTATAACATGGGCAGGTCTCCGTTTTGAAAGTAAGCAAGTTCTGCAACAATATCAATGAATAATACATTGTGATATATGTTTCTTTAAAAGTGGAAAGATGACATTACAAGATTGTCAATTCAATACTGGTATCAATATTTCAGGTTATTGTTTCATATGTGTTTATTTAAAAAACAAACAAACATGACAACCACATCTTATTTATGATACCTTAAAGGTCCGATGTGCAGGATTTAAGGAGTCATATAAGCAGAAATGGAAAATAGTATTCATTAGTATATCACCTGACCCAACCTACCCAAAACTTAACCACCAATCACAAATTATGCCATTTAGATTTAGGTGATAAGCCTGGCAGTGGCTCTAAAGAAGGTGTTTAGCATTTTTAGCAGACGCCTTAAGTTTTCATATGTTTGGAATAAGAGGATGAGGTGCAATATACAACCTCACCACTAGACGTCACTAAATCCCACACCGTGCACATTTGAACATTATTAAAAACTGACAGAACAGGACGCTTTAAATTTGCAAAAAAAAAAAACAACTGTCATTGCACATGTTTGGCATATATGCACTGCAGTTTCCTTAACCACAACCACAAACAGGATTGGAATCATCACCCCAACTGTTCTCTTCAGAGAATTTGTAGTCTGTTTAGTGTTTTCTGCAATAGCAGAGACTAAAGTTTGAGTAAGAAGTTCACAGTATCTGCACACCAGCAGCTGCATGCAGTGATGTTATGTCAACTCACATGTGCTGTTTAATGCAAATTCACCCATACTTGTACACTACAATCAACACCAAATAGACAGTCCTGGTCTAGTCTCAGCACAAACATCCTGCCAGACCTTCACTCACCATATAGCGCCTGGATGCCTTTCACATCATCCGAGTGCAGCTGGAAGTTGGAACGGTAACCAGTGTAGACTGGTGCCATCAGAGCATTTTTGAACTGGGAGTGACCCAGGCCAAGGGCATGGCCTATTTCATGGGCGGCTACAATACGCAGATTAGTACCATAACTTGTCCCCTCAGTCCAGAACTCATCATCATCAAAATGGACAATACCAGACGGTGGTGACTCAGCATGAGCCAGCACATGACCTGCAGATGGAGCACAAAACAGGAGTGATTATGTCTTCTAGGAGCCAAGTGAACGTTTAACCGATATATTTATAGAGAAAACTAACCACGGCCATCAAAAGGGACAGCGCAGTAACCATCTCTCTTATGGAAGGAGATCTTTATGTCCGCTCTGCCATAGTTGACCTCTCTGAAGGTCAAAGCCGCCACATCACTCCAGTAGTTGAAGGCAGAACGGATGGCCGTCCTGATGTCTGACTTGGACATGTCATTGGTGTCCCTGTAGATGCGATAGGTCAGACTCTTCTTTCCCCAACGGCCTGAGAGATAAGAAGTCTTATTTCGAGGTCATCATAACAAAACTGAAAAAGTTAACACTTTGTTCAGCTCTGTGAGAATCAAAATAAAGGAGTCAGCTTCAGTGGTGGAAGGAGTATACAGATCTTTACTTAAGTAAAAGTACCACAAGTATAATGTAATAATACTCCATTACAAGTAAAAGTCCTGTTAGAAAAGCCCTACTATGAGTACGACCGGTAAAGGCATAGAAGTATTAGCAGCAAAATTAAGTAAAAGTACTGGTTTGGTCCTTCTGAGTGATAGATTGTTATATAGGATATCATCACAGATTATTAACAGTGAAGCGTCAGCAGCACTAGAACCAGAGTACAAGCAATTTAAACCTGCTAACGTAGTTAACTTGTGCTGTTTAAAAAGCAAAAGTAACGATTCTCAGCTTTAAAGCATAAGCATAGAAAAAAAATGCAGATTTCTTGTTGTTGACAGTCTTATGAAAAAGGACCATTCTTAAAGTCAGCCAAGCTAATTAAAGACTCCCTTTGGTGCAGATTAATTATTTTTATTACGTTAATGTGTCCATGAAGTCTTTCTTATATGCTGGAAGACACATCATGAGCAAAATAAGCAGTCAAAGCCATGGCTTAGAGATATCGTCTTACAACGATGACAATCTCAAAAGCACAGATCAAGATTTTCAAGGTTCATACGCAACAAATCAAATGTACCAATCCTGTTAGCCCGCAGGGTGGAGCTTTCTATAGCATTGTTGTCCTTCGAAATCATTTTCTGATTTAAACATTTCTGTCTGAATTAATCCAGAATTGCCGCTTGCCAGTGTGTGGTGTAGAGTAGTTTTACAATGTTTGAGTAAAGTTGTAGGTGAGCTGGTGTGCCCAGGCTGCAGCTAGGAGGGGAAGGCTGGGCGGAGATAGAAGCAAACTTAATAGATTTGCACCATTTAAATTAAGCAGTTTTAAAGTATGAAGGAACGATTTTCTTGGAAATACTTCTAAATATTTTGTTTTTGATACATGGAAATGAGTTTTTAAGGGTTTAATCAATCACCAAAGAGGGATTTTATATCATGAATCAAGGTAAATTTATGGAGTTAAGAGACAATAGAAATACACTTTGCGGCTCACCTAACACTCTGTACTTGTGAAATTTCTTGTTGAAAGGATCCTCAATACCACAGCGGGGTTGTCTCATCACTTCCAGGGTGGCTTCATCTACTTCCCCAGTGAGTGGCAGCTCATTCACCCGCTGGAAGACCCTGACAAGACAAGACACAATCAAACATCTGCAAACTGCTGAAACAAAAAGACAGCACCTTTGTAGGAAGTATCGCTCCAGCAGACCCTTATCTAATAGTTGCTGTGATGTAAACCTAGAAAAGTTCCCAGAAAGGGCAATAATCTGAGTTACCTGAGAGCTTCAATGACCTCCTCCAGGTAATGAGGGTCTTGTGGGTCAGTGGGTTCGTTCAGATAGCCATACTGCCTCAGATAAGCCTGTATATATGTGGGTAAACAACAAAGCATTTATGTTTTTGAAAGAATACTTTAATTTACACAAAAATTAAGAGAAATGTAAAAAAAAATAGGAACATACAGTCCTCTGACTCACTGTTGAGATAAATCAGAAATGTCAGGTGAAAGTGAGTGTTGAAGCAGATTAGGAAAGCAAGCCATCATCCTACCTTTGCTTCATTTAACTCGGCCCATTGCACCACAGCACAGAATGTTCCTCTGAGGCAGAGCACCAGCAGCAGCACCAGCAGCCCTGAGTAGTCCATAATTAATTTCTGATCAGCAGCCTCAGCCGACCCAAATATCCACAGCTGGTGCTCAAAAGCCCGAGAAGCGTTCAGCAGAGCCCCACAGCCGACTCTTTGTTCTCTGGGTGCTCTGGCAGTTTTTAACTCAGCCAACGCATGAGTCAGCCCTGTGGCTACGATGATCCACCTCTGAAGAATGAGGATTACAAGAGCAGCCCGTTGACCTACTGTCAACATGTCTGTTGCTAAATTGTACAGCTGTTCTGAGAGGATGTGGAGCCCTTCCTTACATCCAACCAATTTATAGAATTAAGTCCAAAGTAGTTAGTTCAGTTTCTTTACAAGTCACTGAAGAGAAGACATGATCCCAGCGTGAAACTATCACTGTATCATTCTTGTATTATTCCTCAGAACAACCGATCCCCTAATGTTAATACAGTACTGGATGTATCGCGGTTCAATTATGGGTCTAAACCACAGGAAGGACCTCACCCTCCATCTGGACATTCCTGTCATTCCCACACCTGCATTACCTGGGACAAATACTTACGTTTACAACACAGACAAATAAATCCATGACATATCCATGCAGGGATAAATCTAATATAGGTTTGGTAAGGAAGGAACAACTGAGGTAACTTGTTTTCACAGAGTTTATTTGTTTTTTTTTGGATTCTGAGAGGTAAAATTAACTTCAGTTTCACATATGAAGAGAACAACTGTGATTTTTAGGATTTTTCAGCAATCTTTGTGTGTTTGAAAGTGGTCACCGCATCAAAAAATTCAGCACACAGCATAAAAGTTACTAATATTTTCTAATGCTATTGTTTATTTCCATCAGTACTGGTTAACCACAGGAGCAAAACATGTCAATATTCTCAAAAATTAAGCACAGATGAACAACCAAAATGCAAAAGTATTTTAAAGAATAACAATTATTGTGTATTTTTAAGCCTCTTTTAGGTCATTGTTTTGGTTTGACATGGTTCACATGCTATAACATGCATCTATTGTCAGCATTAAAAAAACCTGACACACATATATGTTATAGAAAGTCGACTACATGTAAACTGTCCAGCACCAAGGCAGACTAATTTGGCAATTCACTGTTGAAATCCTCACGTTTAGCAACCAAAAGAGTCAGATGTTTATTTCATAGGTGTTGATTCACCAGAACAGATCCAAAAGGAGATTGCATCAGGGATTTGAATTCTCAGGTAGACAGAAAAACAACTTCAAAGGGAAGGTCATGTTGCTCTGTCTACTGGAAATGTTTTGCAAAAGGTTAGTCATATAATAAGACAATAATATGTTAAAGGGTGTGTCTTTGCTAGCTTTTTGTGATGTCTTTATGCCCCCTAATGGCCAAAAACACATTGATAAGTCAACTTTTTGAATTGTGAGCAGAAATATTCTTTATGTGATCACAAACTCAGTTGTGGCAGGGCCTTGTTGCAGAGCTTTATATATGTAGTCACATCTCAGTGATTTTGTTAGTGCGTCTGTGCTTTCAATTTTAGTATTTGTTTATGTGTAAACCCTTTGGTTTTTCAATAATTAGGTTTAACTGGGAAGAAGAACATCTGCTGATCCATTTTGTCTTTCTTTAAAGAACTGGACATGAGGGGTTTTGGGTGGCAAGATGAGTTGGGTTTATTAGCAATGATCAGCTTTCACCAGTGACGCATTGATTACTGTTTCTATCATAAGCCATTAGTCATCCAGGTCATGCTAATCCATGGTGCTTCAGTAGAAGGCACTTGCACTTCTCTTTCTGGTTCTTGAAGATGTTTCACCTCTCATCCAGGAGGATTCCTCAGTTCTAAATGACCCATAACTCACATGGCCAGTGGTCCATTAACAGCCCAGGGTTCACATGCTCCAAGGTTCGTAAGATTGTGCCAGATGAAGGATAACATAAGGTGGTAATGGTGGTTAAACTGTCTGGAAAGGGATCTCAAGACTGCATAATAAGTACCTGATACATGTTGCTGCAGACCCTCTCCACTGTTTAGAGACGGCTGTTCCAGTTCAACACCTTCACTCCTCTCTTAAACCATCTGTCTTCTCTGTCTAGAATGTGAACGTCGCTGTTCTCAAAGGAGTGTCGCTTATCTTTTAGATGCACTTGGACTGTTGAGTCTTTTTGCTGACTTAATAAAGGAAACTACAAGTTTCATTTGCTTTCTCAATACATGTGTTTCTTGTCTTTTCCCTCTGTGCTGGTAGGGACATGCTCAGCCCGGTGGTGTGATGCTCTGATATCAGAACTTTCTATCACCAGAAGAGAAGAACAAATGGCAGAACACCATCACCATCCCATATGTAGCTGGTATGTCTGAGAAACAAGGACTCAGAGCAAGCAAGACTTTGAGACAAAAACTGGTTCATGCTGAGGATAAAACACCCAAAGACAGGCTGAGCAGTGTTGTATATGCAGTACAAGGCAGTGAGGAGTGCACAGACCTATATATAGGGGAGACTAAACAACCACTTCACAAGTGCATGGGTTAACACAGGACAGGCAGCTCCTCAGGACAAGACTCAACAGTTCACCTGAAGGATTAGGGACGCTCCATTGAGGACAGCATTGTTCACTTTCTAAACAGAGAAAACAGATGATTTGAAAGAGTAGTGAAGGAAGACATCTATGTTGAACTCAACAGCCATCTCTAAACAGAGCAGGGAATGTACAACACCACATATCAGGTACTTACAATGCAGGCTTATGGATCCTGGATTCTTAATGGGTCATTAGCCATGTGATTTGGAGGTGAGGACTCCCCATTGTTCAACATAAAACTGACAGAGCCTCTTTCACGAGAGGTAAAATGTCTTCAAGAACCAAAATGAGGGGTCCACTTGCCTTCTTCTGGAGTTCATAGGAAAACAATTTCAGCAAATTTGATTCCTTTTGGTTTCTGCTCATCGGAACACAGCAGAGTCTTTTGTTATCAGTTTTTTTTGTTTGTTTTTTTTAAATAAATTTCAGTTTTCAGTTGTGTAGATTTGATCAAAACCTGTTTAAAACCACAAGCATTGTAACATCGACATTAGATATATCCAACCGTACATAACAAAAGGCCGATGTTTTCTAATGAAGTTCTCATATTGTTGCTAAATTTGGGATAGGATCACACTAGCCTGCTGTGTGTGGAACTGGTATAGATGTTACGGAGGCATTAGGCGGCCAGACAGCTGGCATCAAGATGTGAGTGTATGGTTGGCATCATATAGCCTCACCACACAAGTACCACACAGAGAGCTTGTCTGTGTACAGTCTTCCAACAGCAGGGCTTGACCTCTCCATTCTTTCAGGAGGGAAGAGTAATAACTCTTTTTCAGCTACTGTCTATAATACTATGATGTGATCCAGCTCAAATTCTTATTCCTCAGTTTTAATACATCACATTTGCACATACGCATTAAGCTAAAAACTCACATAGACAATTAAGTAAGACTGTTTCCTTGATGCTAATTTTGTTTTAATATTACTTATAGAAAATCTGCTCACAAACTCTACCCACATCCTGCACATTCCTCACTGTATCACAACTTAACCGCATGGAAGGAAAATAAATGAAGCTCGACTGCACTCGTTTGCATTTGCCACCTATGTGACACAGTTCTCTGTACTTGCTGACTAGAGAGCAGTAGAGTCAGCTTAATGCTTCCTGTCCACTATATCTGTCATTGTTGTGACATTTTCATAATTACTGGCAGTTTAAAAAAAAAAAAAAAAGGAACAAAAAGCAGGAACAAGTAAGGAGTGGGAGTACAGTAAGCCTTTTAAGGTGATGTTGCTCTTGGCCAGCCTGGTTAAACTGGTGATGAATGTATCCAAAACAAACACACAGCAGCATTGTATTGCGTGTGTTTGATATGAGGTGATATTTTTCATGTTGCTGACTTTGCTTTCCCCTCACTCTTTGTCATCTATTCTTAGTTTACGTCTAACAGAGTGTTGCACAGTTGCTTTCTTCTGCACGCATTCAAGCAGATCATGGTTTTGTACCTGCGATTACTGTTTGTCTCAAAACCAACAGCAAAAGGGTTTTCTCAGTTACTGCATCCAGGCTCTGGAGCAATAACTTCAATAACATTAAGTCCCACTGTTAGCAATATTAAATCAAAATCAAGAACTCATCTTTTTTCTCCTGTTTTTATCCCTGGTCATGTCCTCTCTTTGTCATTTTGTTTGTTTTTTTTAATTACCCTGCTGATTTGTATTGCTCTATTGCATGGTTTTACTTAATTACCTCTTTTACTCTTGTCTATCCCTCTTCATGTGTTCATGCTGTCTTTACATGTACTTCCACTCAAGTTTTTCTTGTCACCTTCTGATCTGCAGTTAGTGGTCCCACCAAACTGTCTTGTGTTTACGTTTTCTTGTTTGTTATCTGTCTGTTTGTCTCACCCCAACCAGTCGAGGCAGATGGCCTCCCTCCCTGAGCCTGGTTCTGTTGGAGGTTTCTTCTTGTTAAAAAGTGTTTTTTCCCCTCTCCCCTGTTGCTTAGCGCTTCATTAAAAGCAGTGATGAATCCATTTTTATAGGATAGCGAGGATTAGAACATGACTCACATTGAGCTGCCACAGAAGAGCATTCCTCATTAAACTTTCTGTTTTTTCCGGTTGGGAAATCGCTGTAGGCCAAATTCTTCTATCATTCGTACACCATGAGGATTCATATATATGCCTTTTAATGCAACCCTCAACTGATGAAAAAAAAATCCTGAAAAAGTTGGTAGCAGTAAAGCTTTTAAACTTGCTGAAGTTAGAATTTAAATGACATCAGGCTTAAGATAGAACCCTCTAAGGGGATTCACTATTGGTTGTAAGGTGAGGCCACCCCTTGGCTTCTTCCTTGCCTCATGGGGTATCTCTGGATTCGCTGAGTTTTCTGTATAATTTTGTAAAATTTTAACATTCATTTTTAATCAGGTAACTTCGTATAGTATGTATTATTACAGGTTCCCAGCTTTAACATTTAAGTTGGTCAGATACATTTGTGTTATATATAGTAATGGAGGGTCTTTGAACTTCTAGCATCAGTCTTATTTCTCTACTGGAAAACACTTTGGCTCAACATCTGTATTTAATGTGTTATATAAATACACTGACTTGACTTGAAATCAAACAGAATACATCAATTCTCTGAGTCTGGGTCAACTGCATAACCATATAAATGTGTTGTCTTTATCTGTTTGACGCAGTTCTGCTTACTCCAACTTTAGTCATGTGTGATTCAGAGACAGATGAATCCTAGAAAATGGTGAAATAAATCTAGTTTTATTGAAGAAAGACATCTGTATACTTCAGCATCTTCCGGTTTGAGTAAACAACATGCAGGAGATGATCTGGACTTAATCCCCAGGACTAGAGGTCAGGTTGCTCATCATCACGACAACATCATGATGCCTAGTTCATTAATGCAATAAGAAAACACCAAACTATGGAATGTGGGTTCAATCAAGGTTTATTATCTTTTACATGGATATAAAGTTTGTTTTATAGTTTACTGGGTATCTTATTAGTTTTATCTTGCCATAACATCTGTTACAATAAACTTTCTTCCCTTCTTCCTCTTCACCCAGCATTCTCCAGCAGGCTCTTGCAGTCCTTTCATATCCTGTTTCCGCTGTGACCACATTCGGGAGTCACGAACGAAACTCACAAAACAAGATACTTGGAAACCTGAATGTATTAGTATTACAGCCAGACTTCAGGTAATAGCTTAATACAGTTTTACAAGTTGAAGAAGCTTGCCAAAGCCAAGAAAACAACATGCAGGATACAACATGTCACTACAAATTCTTGGAAAGAGTAGGACAGAGCATATCTTTGCAGGTGAAACTTGATTTCTGCATATTTTAGTCAAAAAGTCCCAAATGTTTTCATTTTTTATGTTAAGCTGCTTAAAAAACATGAAACAGATACATGTGAGTGTAAACTTTTAAATGACCTAATTTGGCTTTTCAATGTTCTTAAGAGAACCAAGTTTAAAAAAACCCCACATTGCTTAAGATGAGAAGTTGTGAAAATTCTGAAGTTTTCTTGTTTCAAAGGTGCAAAAGTGGGAAAATAAAAATGATACACACATTGTGATATGTAGCTGTGTTGTGCATATATGCAAGTAAAACAATATTATTTCTATTATATTCTTTTGTTGTTCTAATTAATGCAAAAAAGCTGGGTATGATTTTGACAATAATAAACTTAGAGTATGTTTATAAGTAATATTTTAGTCTGTCCTTTAAAATAAATCTTTAAGAGAAACAATCTGATTACATTTGTTTGCCAGTCTGGACTCCAGTTATCTGATGACAAAACAAGAGCTAATCTAAGACGTGCTGCATGACACGGAACAGTTTTAGCACTAAGAAGCAACTGAATCAGCAGAAGTAAGTGAGTGTAAAATTAGAGGTCTTTATTCATCATCAACACTAACGGAAATTTTACAGTAACCACACATTCAGAATATGTAGTGTAATCCATGTGCATATCATAGGTGTTGCTGACATGACAGGAATCGCCAATATGACTTGAATAATTTAACAGTGGTCTGACTGCATATTTCTTTGACCATGAAAGCAGGCTCCTTTTTGGAAAAGCTCTGCAGTTACTCCGGTTTTTAAAACAAACAAACAAACAAAAAAAATTAAAAAGGTGAATAATTAGGTTCAAACTTGTGCTGCTGTTGTTTTTCTGGTCTTACAGATAAATCAAGTTAGCTCCTGCCACTTTTCTCTATATGCCTGCTTCGTTCTGGCCTCTCCTTACACTAAATGCCAGAGCACGGAGACAGAACAGGTCAGAACTGTGGTCAAGCAGAGCTCAGACTTGTGCAATGTGCTGTAGTGTTGCAGCATAAACACAGCTGGACTTCAGTTAGATCTTCACTTCATATCGCCGCTGAAACAGTGAAGGGCAGATCTACTGACAGTTACTGCTGCTAAATCTCCTTTAAATTACTTGAAATTCTTCATTAAAAAGCCATATTATTAGCATCTCACCTGCAGAGGTTATTGATGAGCAAAAATAAAGCAGCAGATGAAGCAACACTCCTATGTTTTAAATATTCCAGCTTGATCCTACGCTCCAGCAGCCAGCTGTTGTGTTCAGTACAGTGAACGCTCTCTTGATTTAAAACAATAACTCTATGTTAAACGTACCTCTCCTCTACATTCCTATTAGATTTAAAATAATTATATAAAATCAGTGTTATAAATTATGTCCCATGTTAATCATAAAATTAATTCAACCCTTTTCAACATACTCACTGATTACAAAAATAAATGTTTTCCATAAAGACTTCACAATGACACAACTGAACCACATTTTCAGTTAAGACTGAGCATAACGCATTACTAAATATAACAGAAATGTTTTGGTTGTTGTCATTTGCAGCCTTTTTAGCTTCCTCCTAAGGATGAACTGCTGCGAATCTTTCAAATCTCACAGGCAACATGATTGTATAAATACTTTAAAGGCTGAGTGACAAAAATACTTCAAAATATCTGTTTATAAAACTGTTTCATTTCCTTTTTCCTGTGTTTTTTTTTTCTGCTGAGTCCAAGAAACACACTTAAAATATAGTCCACTCTGTGATGACTCTGTTAGATGTAAAACCTCTTTGAATTCTAAAAGTGGATTCAGCCACTGAGTCTATTCCTCACTCTCATCCTCTCTGATCTTCACCGTCACTCTGTGCCAGGCGTTGCTCAGCACGCCTCTCAGATTCCAGATTGGAGGAACCGTGTCCGGCTGCATGTTGTAACTGTTGTCAACTGCTTTGCAAACGATCTCCAGCTCTCGAGCATCGGGAGGAAGAGGGGCCGTTATCTCCCACAGCTTCCAGGCCCAGGCTCGTCCCGTCGGAGGTGACGGTTCGGGGGCTTGTCCCTTGTCACCGCTCCTCAGCTGGGCCACCTGCCACGTCTTTCCTCCGTCCAGAGAGACATCTACACGTACCACCTCTCTGCCGCCGCCGCTCCACGCGTAGCCCTTCACCGTCAGTGTTTCCTCGCTGCGATCGATCTCGGCGCTGTCTGCCGGCGTGGTGATAGCAGACTGGATAGGCAGCTCCTGGATGGCTGGAGCGGATTTGAAGTCCACTGTGTCCCAGTCCGTCCCGGGAGAGAAACCTTTGTAGTCGTTCTGCTGCCAGTGGCTGCTGCTCTCGTCTGCACTCACTACGATCTTACCCAGCCACTTCACATTGCGTGCGCCCACGGTGCCTGGTACCACCACCCGGACGGGGAAGCCGTGGTCGGGGGGAATATCCTCGCCGTTCATTTGGTATGCCAGAAGCACATCACCTTCCTCGCTGACTGCCTTGTTTAGAGGGATTGAAGCACCGTACGTAGTCCCCGTCACATCTGTATCCAGTCCTTCAAACTGAACATGGCGTGCCCACTGGGCCACATCTGGCTTGTAACCAGCGGCCAGCAGCACATCCCTGAGCAGAGCGCCGCTCCATGTGGCGTTACTGATGGCAGCTATGCCCCAGTTCAGTCCTTTCACCTGCTTCACCTTATTCATTTCACTACGGCGGTTACCTGCACACTGCAGTGTAGCAGTGATGGTGTGCTTGGGGAATCGTGTCTTCAAGTCTTCTAAAGACAGCGTCAGAGTTCCTCCAGGCAGACCCTCCACATGCAGCTGATATGAGGCCGGGTCCACCTGAGGAACGGGCAGGTGGTTTCTTTTGAAGAAGAAGGCGGAGGGCGTGATGTAGCTGTCAGAGAGGATTTCAGGAGGCGGCTCAGCATTGAAGGGCTTCAGGTTGTTGATGTGCAGGACAGGGTGACGTTCTGGGTCAGAGGAGTAGGGGTCAGATGATTTAACAGCCTGCTGCTTCTTTAGGTCCTCTAGGCTCAGCTCACCAACCTTCATTAACCACAAACACAAAGGTTTTATTACGCCACATGGGACTGATAGGTGAAAACACACTTTTTCTCTCTCACCACTTGAGGGAGTGCCAGCATTCAGCCTACAGCAGTCAGTTTTTCCTCAGTGTACAGTACGCAGTAGACCTTTTCATATGTGTCTGCAGTGACCAGCTGCAGGATGAACAGCATGAACGACAAGTTCAGTTCATTTAAGGACAAACTTAGCTGATCCCCAGCTAAACCTCTCCAATGACACGGTTTCACATAAATCCCTTTTTGTCAAAGACACAACTAACTTTCTTTCATGGATCTGTACGGTTAATAAATGCTCAAGGGGGTGTTTTAACATATTATGCCTGAAGTGTTAAGTTAAACAATCTCAAAGAAACTACTGCATATTGTCACTTGAGATTTATTTTTATAGCTTTAGTCACTGATTTTATCAGCTATCTAAACTTTTACTCACCAAAGCATTTTCTGAGCACTAAACAGCAACAGTCAGGTGATGACACAGGCTGTAAACCAGCCGACCGTTTAGTCAGATTGACTTACAGCAGAATTATAGCAAGCACAGGCGGTCAAAGTTGAACCGGAGACTCTGCCTTTAATCTCTGATGGATTTTTGTAACCAACTGAGTTTGCTATTGTTACATGTCAAATGGAAGTCAGCGATGGTTTGCACTTAAGGTCTGCTGAATGGTTCAAATGCAAACGTCTACACATAAGCTACATTGTTCAGTGTTCTGCACCAGCTGTGTTGTTTGATGGAACTTGTTCCACCCAAATGATTATCTACTGAAAACAAATCTTTCTCTGAGTGGCTCCACTGTTAATATTCTACACCTACTTCATGGTTTGCACTCATTTTATAGTAAAAACTTTTTTTTTTTTTTTTTAACTACATAAACAAACTTAAAGTGCTCGTTGTCACTATAGAAATACATTTTAAGCCTTACATTTGTTTTCAGTTTAGTTCTCAATCATCAACAACAAACAGGTGTCCCACCTTATATTCCGAGAGGATTTCCAGGACATGTTCCTGGTTGTGTACAGCATACAGCGCCCAAAATGGTTCAAGGGCACCACCTGCTGCCAACAAGATTTTATCTCCTCCAGGGTGCATGGCCACAAACTCAGTGATGTCGTAGACGCCGCCTTTGTAAGTGACCCAGATGCCATTTTCCAGGGAACGGTGTTTTGTAACTTCCTCTTGGCTGAAGACGGGAAGAGAGGAGCTCTTCTCTATAGTCTGCACTCCAATGTCTGCCCGCTCAGCCTGCACAGGATCAGAGGCAACATCATTGTTGTGAGCCATTAAAACAGCAACAATATGAAAAGGCTTGAATTAATTAATCAGTCAGCAAGGAATCCACATTTTGTTGTTTTGCTTTTTTTAGTCAGTAGACATGTACACTAATAAAATTGCACAGCACTTGCAATAAAAACATATTCCCTGCCACTTTCGAGCAGAAAACATAAACACTCAAAAACTAATTTTACATTTAAGCCTATAGTTTCGGTCTTTCACCAGCTCGTACTACCAAACCACACAACTGTGCAACTAGAGGCCTTAGTCCTAACTGTGCAAACAACACGTTGGTCAGCCACATGGCCTCTGTTTGTCATGGGCCTGCGTGTTCCTGAGCAGTGAAGGATTTATTTTTTTTCCTTTGAAAAGCTCAATAGTTGTGAATAAACAAAACAAAACACAACAGACCAGACAGCAAGAGCTTTTGAAACAAACATGATTCATATAAGTCCTTCTACTGTGACAGCAGAAGCTCTTGAAACCGACACTCGGCAGCCTCGTCTTGTTAATTATTCACATATTTATGGAGGAGAAATGTACTCATGGTCTGGAAAGTTCACATTTTCTGACTGTAAATGTGTAGGATTTCCACTTTCTTTTTAAGTTGCACAGCAGTTATTAAACATTGACATAATTTTACCCTCGTACACAAAGTAAATGAAAAACTGACTGTCTTGACAGATCTTATCTCTTCCTAACCTTGTGATGGTGCAGGCCATAAGCCAGGACAGCCCCTGTACCAGCCAGCAGCCCTGCCAAGCCATGTTTCCAGCTGACGCTGTGGACATGCTGGTGCGATCTGTGGTCCTCGCTGCTGCTGCTGCTGCTGCAGAGACGAACTGCACACGATACCACAGCAGGTGCCACCTGATGCCTAGGAGACCAAAAAAATGTGACTCTTACACAGATAAAGCTGATCTCACAGAATACTGAGTACAACGGCATGCTTAAGACTAACTACATCACTTTGGTGTATTCAAAAAGTGTAAAATATCCATCCATCCATTATCTATACACCGCTCAATCCTCACTAGGGTCACGGGGGGGCTGGAGTCTATCCCAGCTGACTTAGGGTGAAGGCAGGGGACACCCTGGACAGGTCACCAGTCTATCACAGGGCTACACTTAGAGACAGACAACCAAGCACACTCACATTCACACCTACGGACAATTTAGAATCACCAATTAACCTCAACATGTTTTTGGACTGTGTGGGAGGAAGCCGGAGAACCCGGAGAGAACCCACGCTGCACAGGGAGAACATGCAAACTAAACACAGAAAGATCCCAGGCGCCCTAACCGGGACGTGAACCGGGGATCTGTGAGGCAACGGTGCTAACCCCTGAGCCACAGTGCAGATCCAGTGTAAAATATAAGGTCGGCAAAAGGTGGAGCTCAGGCTCCACTGTTATAAACTACTTTGTCGAAGGCACGTCAAATACAAATATGAGACAGCAAAATTAATTACCCAGAACAATACCAACGACAAATCACCTTTTTGTTACAGTAGCATACCTTTGAGTGTTGAGAGGGCCAAGTCGAGTTAGGCTGTGGCAGCGTCTGAAAAGCAGCATCGCATTGATGTTCTGGAAAGAAATCAAGTTGAGAAAAAAAAGAAAGAACAGACAAAACATCTTCTTTAGATTTAAAATACTACACAAATACCCTGGTGAGCTCAAAGTGAACAATGATGTAAAACAGATCTTTAATCATAAAGATTTATACTAGCAGGCTACAAAGGCTAGTAGATTGATCATCCTTCTGTAATTAGTCTGCTAGCCTGAATTAAGACAAGCATCAGTTTATTTAGAGCAGTCAGTGCGTCACAGAAAACACTAACGACATTTTTTTCTAGCAGCTTTCCATCCAGATTGAACGTTGGAGCTTTCAGCAGTCACAAGTGCTTCTGGAAATAATTCTTTAAAATGAGCATCAAAGAAATAAGCTGAGCTTGCAAAGCCCAGTAACAGCCCTCCTACATGTAATGTGAAATGTGCGACGACTGGTTAACACAGACATACTGTCTCAGAGTTTGCACAATTTGCTGTTGCTGCATTGCTCACCAAACTTTCTCTACCTTTACAGAAAATGTGTTTGATGACTGAGGGAACCTTTAAACCCTTCAACTCCTCCTCAACTAACCAACCAACCAGCTGTGACTTCACACTTTAAAAGGAGCCAACCAGCAGAGGGGGAGTGAGCAGGGCAGAGGAGGAGGAGGCCCCAGTTTCAGCTGACGCCTGTGAATGATGTCCAAGTCCATTTCAGTAAACAGAGACAACTTGTCCAGCATCCAGTAAGGAAAGAAAATCAAACATATCTCACTCAATCGAAAAAAAGAAAAGAACAGGACCTTATCTTCGGTGGGTTGACATTTAAACAATAAAAGCACAGGTTATGACTCAGTAATGACCAACTCCTTGTGTAACGCCTGTGGTAATGACTCCAGCCTGTTTGTGCTGGGCGGCTTCATTAGGAAAGATCTCTGACTGACTGACTGACTGACTAGAATAACTAAAGATTATAGATTTTATCTGCTAATTTCACAATCAGGCCAAAATTAGAAGCACAAACAACAAAGAAAAAAAGCATTTCTAACAGGCCACTAATAAAACGACAGGTAGCTCGGCTTTATCAGTTGATTATGTGTCTTATCACCGTCTGCTGGGACCATTAAGATTACTCGGTGTTATCTTGAAGGAGCTTTCACTGAGCCAGCTCTTTAAAGAATGACCACAATAATGTCCCACTAGTTCTGCTACTGACTCCCACTACGTTTCTACGCTGAGAAACAACTTTTCTTCTTACAGTAAGCATGATGATGTCCAGCAGTTGAGTCATATGTTACTAATGCAACGACCTCAGGCCACTTCAGTAGAACTTACGCTGGTAAAATTCACATTAGCAAAAAAAAGTCTCACTTTGAATGAATTTCATTATATTATACAATCATTGTTTTAAACCTGGTTAACACCACACACCTGATATTAAAATTGATCACAGAACAATAATACAAGTGTACAGCAATCACAGAAGCAGGCAGAGTTCTTATACAGGACAATACCCAGATACTATAATGCAGGGGTGCCCAATCCTGGTCCTCGAGAGCCCCTATCCAGCATGTTGTAGATGTTTCCTTCTTCCAACACACCTGATTCAAATGATCAGCTCATCATCAAGCTCTGCAGAAGCCTGATAACAACCCTGATCATGTGAATCAGGTGTGTTGGAAGAGGGAAACATCTAAAACTTGCTGGACAGGGGCTCTCGAGGACCAGGATTGGACACCCCTGCTGTAATGGAACCACACTGAGGCCTTTTGATTCAAATAGACAATAATGGATAGAATACATATCTTGCAATAACTTCTTAAAGTTCTGCCTTCCCTCTGATCTACAGAGACAGGCTGATCTGTATGATCAGAATTTGGATGTGAAATAATTAGGTTGGAAGCACAGCGTGGGTGGATGCACTCTCAGCTACAGCTGATCTGGCACGTCTGCACCATTCCAATTAGCTATAAAACCAGAGGAGCCACTTCACCCAGCTCTCTAACTGCTGACTGTGCTTGTGGTTGCAGCTATGGCTGTTTTGATTCAGTCTGCGGCACAGTTTTTTAATCATGAGTATAACACTAGCTGCATGCAGTAAGGGTTGAGTGATTATCAGAGCTAATTGTCAGCATTGTTTTATCTGTATTCTAAAAAAAAAGGTGCTACTTTGGCTCTGATTCAGCAGCATCTCTCTATCTGTAGTCCTCTTGCGGTCTGGAGCAATGTCTCGTCTACAGCACATTCTGACTATCAACACTGAAAGATAAATGATAAAAAGTTCTCTTTTTAGTAAACATGTGTAAAATATACACAAGCATTCTACAGTTTGACTCTAAGGTTTTATTTTAACTGCAAATATATATATATATATATATGTGTTCCAAATATTGTCTCCTGGTCACTAATAATCAGCATCTGTGTCGACCACAAACATGCAGCTCCTGCGGTGTAATAGAAACACATCTGTGGTGTCTGATAAAAGCACAGTGGGTTGAAATCGTTCAGCTGGACACATTTATGGCCCAGCAGATTCGAACTTATCCACAGCTTTACTCATGATAACCAGGTGAAGCAGCTGCATTCACATTGTATTACTGTGGCAGCTCTGCCTTGTGAAAGGAGTAATAAACAATAAATACATCCTATGAAGTGTCACATTATTTTTCTTGTCTGCAGCATCTACAGAACATTTCTTTAAACTGCCAGTGTGTGATAACAGGACAGACACACTAACTGTTCATACTGATAACAGGGAAAAACAAAAGTGCTCCTACCTCCAGGGGCTCTGTAGTCCCCATAACATGGCTCTAGCTGTTGCATTTACTTCACCGTTGTTCATTTAAATCATGAATTTAAAAATGAGGAGATATGCAACCTGTTGTTTGTGGTAAAGCCCACTTCAAGTAAGCATACTGAATGGAAATATAAATGCAGCATGTGTTATTTTATTAAATTCTATCCATTCCTTTAAACATAATGAAATAAGCATGTGTTGCTTTAACACACGGCATCTCAACAACAGAATGGATGTCATGAAAACACCAAGAACAACAGAGAGTGGGGTTATAGATGAGAAATTACAAGTCAGTAATAACTCACTGATATGCTTCACATTGAGTTAATGAGGTGGTTGATGCTACTTGTCGAGTCTTGTCCCACTATTTCTGATGGGCTTGGAGACGTTGGGGGACATTTTTGGGATCATAGATCATCATTTCTTAGCCGACAAATGATGGAGTTGTGGACACTGAAGTACATGACTACGGCTCTAACTGACATGTCAACATCCAGCATGTCAACATCCAGTTCTTGTCTTTCTCTTGCTACCTGTGGCATCGTGTCATTTGAATAAAGCTGTAGTTTAATGTGTAGTCACTGGTCAAAGGAGGGTCTGTGTGCTGGTCACACTGTCTGATCATTGTGATTTAAAGCCACACCTGACCAAGGTGTGTGGATTAAACTCAATGGTCCAGAAATGAAAGGCTTTACTTTTTTTTCAAAGTGAGAAAATAAGATCATCTGCATGCTGTTTACACGTCTGATCAGTATATATGAACTTTCTACGTGTAAAACAACATTTTCCTCACTATAACAAACATAAGAAACACATCCCCAGCTGTTAAAAAGATGCAAGCTCTCTCAACTGTAAATTAATTATTTACCTGCCTTTTTTTTTTTGACAGTGACCATAGATGTATTTCTGAAAAGCTAGTTTGGAGAACTGTGTGACCTTCAGTGATGACTCTATAAAGCTCAGTATATGTGCTCTCTGTAGCTCAGTGCTCTCTCGGTGTTTTACCTTTACAGGATGTGTCAACATTAGCTAAACCACAGAGATACCATCTGACAGAAACGAGGGAAAAATCACACCTATAAATGACCTAAAATCACAGGTTACTGAGGCGGCATCACTGCAGACACATTTAACACAGACAACCAGTTACACTTTTGACTGAAAGGCTTGGTTAATGTTTAAAGAACACATGCAAGCTAGCTTAAGTCATTAATTTAGCCTAAATTGGCTAACTAAGCTAACAAGTTAGCAGACATGACGCTCTGATTCACCGGGTCCGACCAGCTTTTATTTATATTCGTAAACAGAAAAAACCCCGACATTTCAGTTCCCGTCTCCTCATTCAAACCGCAGTACTCACTTCAGTGGTTGTTGATGTTCTTCAAGATGCACCGATGACACAAACGTCGCTCAGCTCTGAACGCTGCACAAACACGGAGCGAGCTGCGTTCAAGAACAACACTGCTGCTCTCAGCCTGCGGAGGCATGAGGCACCTCCACATTCCGCCCAGGGCAGGAGATCCGCCCAGAGTTAGCAGAAAAACAACCGCTAGGATGAGCTGCGCTTCACTGGTTCCTCAGGAGTTAATAAATTACTGTTTGAAAGAACATGACTGTATATTACATCCATCTAGCTAACAAATGAAGCACTATAAAATGTCAAATCAGCTTTACGTGTGTACACAAACAAGACCTGTAACTACAGTTTTTTTTTCTTTGCTCTCATTTACATACACAAAAATCATATAACTTCGAACGAGTAGCAGGTTAAAGAAAGGAAAATAGACTATAGATATTTGTAAAAGTGCCTGTGTAACCCTCCTATTATTTTTGGGGTCAATTTGACTCAAATCAATGTTTAACAAATGACTGAACACATTTTTTCAGTTTTATTTAAAGATCTATTTACACATAACCTTGGGTAACAATTTTAATCATGATATTTTCTGAAGGTTTAAATTGCTGGGGTCAAACTGAACCCAAGGATAAAAGATATTAGTAAAACTGAAGGTAATAAGAGGGTTAAAGCAAACCAGAAGTTTAGTGTAGATTCTGATGATGCAGGGTTGTTGACACTTGTATACACTAGGTAGGTGGATAACTGTGCAGGAGATTAAAAAAAAAAAAAAACATGAACAGGTATATAACATAATGTATGCAGTGGTTCAGGTTTCGGGGATTCAGGATTTGAAGTTGCATTGTTTGTTCATTGTCTTGGCACCTACCTTGTTGCCTTCCTTTAAGGTTCCCTTTATTAAGGATGTACATGTTATGACGTTATTAATGGTAATAAATAGTTGATATAGTTGATTAAAACTGG